TACCGTAAGATCATTCTTCAAGTTCTTATGTTCATTTAACACTGTGCTGTGAATTTTTTCCTATAAGTGATACATGGAGCTCTAATTTATATTAAAATGATTCTTCTTACCCAGGAATGTGGTATTTTTGCAAGCTTTTAGACCCTTTAGACAATTTATTATTCTTTTCCAAAAAGGTACCAAATATTTTTTGTTACACTTATTCCTAGATAACTTATAGATTCCCTTGCTATTCTCTACACTGAGCACAAGAAAACTGTAAAATAAATAAAAATGATATATTCAGAGAATGATGGACTCATAAAGTAAAAAATGGAAGAATTAGTAGAACATTTATAGGACAGAATATGAAGGACTACATTAGGCAGGTTAATAAAACCAATGTATACAAGGAAATTCTATTTAGGCTGATACCCAGACATATGAAAATAGGGAGTAATAAAGACCAGCCAAATAATTTCCTCAAGGAGATCACTATCAAAATGTGTCCTCTCATTAGGAAGAGAGGATAAACTTCAGGGACGACATTCATTTTGCTACATCTGCCCAGATCTTGTAATTTACTTCCATTGTTTCCTAAGATCAAGTAACTTGTTACCTCCTCTGGTCCAAGCCCACCCCATCACCAGGCATCATTTTTAGGAAAGCTCCATATTCAACCCAACGTCTTGCACAGTGAACTGACAATAAAATAAAGGGATTAAAAGATGGAGTTGGTTCATTGACTAGGGTATTGAAATTGACTACAAGAACTAGTCCTCAACTTTCTTCCAACAGTGTTCACTTAAATTTAAAAAGAAATATATGAAAGAGGGTAGTGTCAATAAAGCACTTTATCAGGTTTCCTTCCAAAAGACAAAAAGTGGGGGTGGGAGGTAGTGTAAGTGGGTATATAAGGAGTATACCATAATGGTAATATTGATTTTCCACTAACATGTTATTTTGAAAACTGATCTTGACAGTGCTTATTATAGACTTCTCCCACCTCCAGATGACTCATAGCCTCAAGGATATTCAGGAATGGAAAGGGACATTAGCTCTTCTTCAACTTTCACCATCAACCAAGCAATTATTTTCTATGTCCTTGAGCACTTTCCATTTATGTGACTCATAGCACTTCTTACAAAGTCTCATGACTACACAATACTTAGTATTATAGTGCAAAGTTAGGGCAGAACTTACAAGCCAGACTTTACAGTTTACTTCATCATATACTGCATTATATAACCTTTCTGTTTCTTAGTTTTTTCCTCTTCACATGCTGATTTTTCTCTTAATTAGTTGATGTACTTGAAACAGATCAGGACCCATAACAAGTAATCAATATACATTATCTGCTATTAATCATTTCTCTGACAAGTGCCCTGATCCTTCTCTATCAAATAATCTTCTTAGAAATGACCCCAGCAATTACTTTACAGCTGACGTTGCCATCAAGCCTGAAATCTTGTGCAGTCTCATCTATGCTCTTTTTCTATTTAGTCTTTTTCATTCTTCCCCTTTGATGTCCCATTATAGAAGTTATTCTGCCATCAAAGGATAATTAGTTCAGCTGTGCATGTGGTAGAGTCTCCTTCAGAACCTTGTGCATTAACTGTAGCCTTTACCAAATATCCTTAATTTTTCTTTCTTTAATGACTCTTTAATTTCAGCCCATAAGTTTGTCCTCTTATCCAGAAAAAAAAAAAAACAACTCCATGGTACAGTTAATTTTAAAGACAGTTTGGTAGTTTTTTACAAAACTAATTATACTCTTACCATTCAATCCAAAAATCACACTCCTAGGTATTTAACCAAATGAGTTGAAATCTCATTTTCATAAAAAATACCTGCACATGAATGTTTTCATCAGTTTTATTCATAGTTGTCAAAAACTGAAAGCAACTGAGATGTCATACAATAGGTAAATGGATAAACAGAGTGTGATACATCCATACAATGAACTATTAACAATAGAAAGAAATGAGCTATCAAGATACCAAGAAACATGGAGGAAACTTAAATGCATGTTGTTAAGTTAAAAACTTAACTGAAAAAGCTACATATTGTATGATTCTTACCATATACTATTCTGGAGAAGGCAAAATTCCTGAGACAATGAAAAGATCAATGGCTGCCAGGGGTAAGAAGTGAGAAAGGAAGAAGAATGAAAAGACAGAGCACATGGGGTTTTTAGGATAATTAAATTTCTGCATTATGCCGTCATGATGAATATACGACAAACGTTTACACACATCACTTCATAGTAACACCTAGAAGAATTTCACTGAATAACTAGGAGAAGGTGTGTACACCAGGGGTAGGAATCTTGGGTTCCATCTTAGAATTCTGCCTATGCCACTGTCCTGTCCTATGCTCTCGCCTCTTTTGTGACAGTAGACTAAAATTGATGTTCCTTATGCTTACAATTTGGGCCTTTTCTCTTTCCATATATTCCCTATTTATAGAGACATATTTCCATATTTCCCTATAAAAGTAGTTGAATCCATTTCCATAGACTCAACTACTTTTTATAGAAAGTTAACCACATCTCATTAACTCATTTGAACTCCATATACATATTTCTAGCTGCCTCTTGGTAATATCTATTGGGATTTCCAATGGAGAATCAAGGAAAAGTTATAATGTCCCATTTCACACACATAAAAATAAGAACATGACTCTCCCTATCACCTTTTCTCTTTAAATAAGATTGGTATTTTTTTGCATTTGCTCAAAGTCAAAAACTTTAAACTTCTGTTAATATTTTCTGAAGAGTTACTATAGATGAGGGACTCTCTTAAATTCTTAATAAGTATTAATATCTTATCCTCATCTCTGTGGGACAGATACCAGTATGTGGAGATTTTGCATAGGGGATTGTATCTAGTAAGTAGGAGGGCAAGGGTCAAAATCATCTGGCTCAAGATCTAATCTCTTAACAACTCTGCTCTCTATGTTTCTTTCTCATGTCCACTTGGCCATCAAGTCCTACTAATTCTATCTCTGCAATATCACTCAAACTCACATCCTTATTTGTAACTCTGCTATCACGCCTTGATTTAGGTTCCTAGAATATTTCTCTGTCTCTAGAGTAGTGTTTCTGTCTATACCTTTTACCTATTTCAGACAACCTCCTCATGACTTCTTGCCATGTCATGTCAATCATGCTTAAGAAAATGATGTTTATATTTCATTTGTTTAGCGTTTTTCCAAACTCTTTAGCCTACCATACAAAGTCTATCTCTATTGGATTCCTGCCTGAATTTTCTGTCTTTTTTTCTACATGACTGAAGACATTTACATCTTTCTTATGAAACTTTTCTCTTTGCATGTGTAAGGCGCCTTCCCTTCAATATTATGAGTTGCTTGAAGCAGGAGTCAACATAGCACAATGACTGGTGTATAAAATGCACTTAACAAATATGCATTGAATAAATTGTATTTAGATTCTTTTTTTTTAAGATCCATGTTTTGAGATTCATTTTAAAAGATGGCTTCAAACCAGACATGGTGGCACATGCCTATAATCCCAGGCATTCAGAAGGCTGAGACAGAAGGATGGCAAATTCAAGGGCAGCCTTAGCCACACAGCCAAAAAATGGGCTTAGGGATGTGGTTCAGTCAGTGAACTGCCCTGGGTTCAATCCCTGATTTAAAAAAAAAAAAAAGATGATTTCAAGAAAGTAAATGAAAAGCTTATTTCCACCAATATATACCATATAGTTTTATTTACATGGACTATCTAGCAGGTTATTAACTCTACATGGAATATCATTTTCTATCTGTTGAGATGAAGTCATGGGGTCTGATTCTTCATTTAATGGGTTACACCAATATCTTTGTTCAAAAAGATATATAACTATGTTTATTTTGATTGTTTGCAGGTAGATGGATCCATACTGCTGAGGTTTTTTGGTTGTTTGTTTTTGGTTTTTTAATATTTATGTATTTTAGTTGTGAATGGACCTTTATTTTATTTGTATTGGTGCTGGAACTGGAACCCAGGGCCTCACACATGCTAGCCAAGTGCTCTACCTCAGAACCACAACCCTAGCCCCTACTGCTGGGTTTTTAATAAGACTGATTCACCCTGCCTCACCTTACCTGTACTTATTTTACTGCTAGATGGTTCATCTAAAGCTAATCCAACCATAAACTGCATAGATCCTTAACTGTTAAAACTAAAGGAAAATGGCAGGCATCACTGGAGTGAACAGGATCATCCAATGCATTTGAAGGGCTAAAATAAGCCAATTTTTTCCCCATAGACTGATTCAAATGTTCTTCCTCAGTTTGCGATGAACGGATACCCAAAACTGGTTAGTTTGGGGGGACTTTGTGTTTCTGCTTTGGCAAAACAAGCAAGGTACACTTCTTGTGGTTACCATTTTAAAATAAATCCTCACACCAGAGAACTTTCAATCGTCCTCTCACTTGCCAAGCTTGCCTTCCTTCCTGGTTTACACTTCTAATGATTTTCGTGAGTTGCTCCTGCTAAACCCCGAGGGTGGACTCCTGACCTCCTTGCTAGATGTGCGAATGATGCCAGGGTTAGTGACTGCTCTGCGGCTCTCCAAAGCTCCTCCTCCCCAGACAGCGACAGCTCTTCGGATGCAGAGGTTGGGAAGCAGGACAGGGGACACTCCCGGGGTGCAGCTCGGACCGGGGGAAGCCGGATCCTGGATGCTGAAGAGGCCGCGCAGGGGACTGGCGTGCGCGTGCCATGCGGAGCGTGGACTCTTTCGGCCATCCCCCTGCTGCTCAACCTGCCCCCGACTCGCTTCTCCGGCTGGGCCGCCCGGCGCGGGCCGCTGTCCACAGTGGGAGGTGCTGAAAGCAAGGAGCGGGCGCGGGGGCGGCGAGGTGGACAGCTCCTCCGAGCGCCCCCCTCCCCGCTCCGCGGCGCCTCCAGCCCTCCCCTCCTCCCGCAGCCATGTTCCACGCGCGGGGAGGGGTGGGGGAAGGGGAGAGAGACGGGGGACCAGGGCGGAGAGAGCCGGCTGTGCCTGGGGGAAGGAGGGGATGAGAGTTGGGGGGAGCAGCGGGAGGAGGAGGAGGCGGCGGCTAGCGAGGAGCCGGCGCTGGGTCCTGCAGTAGGGCTCCCGGGAGCCACCATCATGGTGAAGAGGAAGAGCTCCGAGGGCCAGGAGCAGGACAGCGGCCGCGGCATCCCGCTGCCCATCCAGACCTTCCTGTGGCGCCAAACCAGGTGAGGGGCGCAGAGGGCGCGCCGCGGGCGCCCTGGGCTGGGGCGCTCCTGGGGCCGCGGGGTCGCCGCCGCTGTCACCGCTGCCGCTGAGGCCGCGCCACAGCCTGCAGCTCCCTCTCTGGGGCTGGAAAGCCAGCCCTCTGCACCGGTTTAGAAACACGCATTTGGAAAAAAAAAAAAAATCAGTGAAGTTTGACGACAAGCAGATTGGCAGTTTTCGAATAAATATATACATTATTTAGAGGGTGGGAGGGCAAAGAGTCTGGGAGAGGGGGTGGATGGCTAGGGAAGATAATTATGACTGGTTGTGCTCCTGCGTCCAATTCCCCCTCCATCTCCGGCTGTAATTCCAGCCTGGTGACCTGTTGTTTTCCGGCTCTTGTTCGGTGGATATTTGTTATGCCCACTTGTTAACCATTTTTGCCCAGATTCAGCTGGCGTAATCTCTCGGGTAAAAGCCCCTGAAGAGAATGGATTTTGATAAGGGATCTCTCCCCCACCCTGGACAGGCCTGAAACCTATTCCAATAAAGAGCAAAGAAGGTTCCCCTATTTATTATTATTTATTATTACTATTATCATCGAGATGTATCGGATAAGAAATTAGATCCTGGCAGTCATGATCCACAGAGCGTTCGTTTTTCAGTTGTTAATATGACTGTGCACAAGAGTCATGCACCACTTCTGACCATTGGCAATATAGAATCTGATTAGGTAAAAGTCTTGAGAATAAGAGTGGATCTGGAAAATTGTAGAGATTCACGTCTTTTTCATATACGGAATTACACGTGTAAAAGCAAGTGTACTCGGCTGTTCAACACCTTCTCATTAACCAGCTATAAGGAAGCATGAAATTTGAGTTTCATAGCTCCATGTCTCGTTCATTGAAAAATGTGTCATAAGGATTCTTTAATAATAATTTTGCTCATGTTTATAATAAGTGTCTCCCTTAATTTTTCAGTGCATTTTTGAGGCCTAAACTGGGGAAGCAATATGAAGCTTCTTGTGTGGTACGTGATTTTCACCATTAAATGTTTATTTTCATATTCTGTGTGGTGATTTGAACCCAAAGAAAGAACTAAATCATACTGACTACACATATTAAATCATTTGGTAAATATTATTGAGCACCTACTCTGTGCCAGACACAATTCTACTGATGGGATGGAGGGGTGGCAGATAGACAGGCCACAAACAAATGTGAAAATAAAACACGTAAATAATAAGCCACATGGTGATAAGCACTGGAGGAAAAAAAAGCAACAAAGAGGATTGGGAAACACCTTAGTAGGGGTTTGTTTTATAAGGGGAGAGTAGATAAGACTTAACTACTAATGCGATGCTTGGGCAAAGACATGAAGGAAGGGAGAGAGAATACCATAGTGAGGGAAGAGCAGGGAGAACTTGAGCTAGAGGACACGGGCACCCAATGGGGAAGTGAGGGATTCGGTGGGAAGGAACTGAGGGCTGGAAGAAAGAGCAGAGAGACAACAGAACCAGGCATGGACCTTCCAAGGCATGTGTGAAATGTCACATTGGTAATCAGCAAAATCGAGATTATTATACAGTGGATGTTCCTATTATGAATTGCTATGAGCCACTTGAACACAATAATAGACATTTCTGTTTTATGTTTGCCATATACTCTGGAAGTTTGAAAATGAATAATATAAAATTATTACAAGTGAAAATAATGCTATTAATATTTATACAATGTGCACCTGTCTTGAGATTCTAAGAGAATCCCATTTCCTTACAAAGTTCCATTTTATAAATGGAAAAAAAAAATAAGATGTGATATCATGAAGCAAAACTGAAATAGATTTTAACAGATTTCCTTAAAATGTGGAGCTCTTACAAATGCCTTGACATTTCATGTATTATAATGTGAAAGTAGAAACCTACCCCTTTGGATATTGCCATCCATGTTTAAAAACAGCTACGTGGATGACTTTCTGTGAGGAGCACTGAGGAGTCGTGACTTGTGATGGAAGCCAACAGGAGAGTTAGAAACACACACATACTCAAGTAGACATTTTTATTGAGTCTCCTGTCCATCAAAATTGCCACATAGATATTTATTTTTTTAAATGTAGCGTTCTTATATGGGCCTGTTAATGGAACTTCTCATTGTACTTGATTCATTAGAATAATTTGACAGTTGAAATCTCTAAGTCTTTCTTAAAACTATGCTGCCAATTACAGTATTTTAAAGCAACCATTATTTTCCTCTGTTCTTAGCAAAGTCATGTCTGACATTTTTGGTGTAGCCACAAAATATCAAATAGTGGTTACATTTTTGGATGGGTAGATAGATAGGGATAGAGGTATTTAGACATCCATATGAAAAACAATTTTCAAGGTTTAAAAAATTATAAAAAAGTTGGGTTGGGGTTGTAACTAGGTGATAGAGTGATTGCCTAGCATGTGTGAGGCACTGGGTTCCATTCTCAGCACCACATATAAGTAAATAAAGGTCCAACAACAACTAAAAAACAATATTTAAAACAAATTATAAAAAGTTACATTAGTAGCATTTAAGAATAAAATGAAATACATAACACATCCTCTTTAGTATATTCATTAGACTATATAAATTCTTTAGAATCTTTTAGTGTCTAACACACTCATCCTTTACTTAGTGAATACTTCAGTTGAGGAATTTTAAAGTGGTTGGATCTGTATCACTAGCATATCTAAAGGCCTTTATTTCATTTCTTCAAGAAAAACAAATATTACATATGATTGTGCTTCTCATCGAAGCCTCAGTCATCCAGTTAGAACACTTGGGTCTTGTACTATGATCCTTGTCCAAGACAATTACACAAGGTTCTTAAACATGTGGGGGTGTCAAACATGTTCTTAGAAGTTACATATTCATTATCATTACTCTAATATCTGATATTTTTACATTCTCCAATGCCTTGCAATTCTCCTCCACCCTCAAACAAAACAAAATAAAAATAAAAAACAAAATGAAAAAATAAACAAACAAACAAAAAAACCTGAGTAGATCAAATTTGTTACTTGTTCTAGGGTGTCTCATCTCTGAGAGCATCCCTGGCAGGGATAGAAGACTTTATAAGCTGCAAAGCAAGATGGCTTCTCTCATCCCTCCCTCCTTTTCTTCATTCTGCTCTTTCTCTATTCAACAGATATGAAGTGGGTTTTTTTTTAATGGTTCCAGTATTAAGTTAAGGAGTATTCTCTGCCAGGTCATTGCTAGGGACATGGAATAAATCAGTGACCCCAAAATCAGATTGCTTGGCAGAGTTGTGCTTAGTTAACACCTGTTGAACAAATTGACATAAATTCTGTCTCTCAAGACACCTTTGCAGAACGCATTTCATTTTGGTCTGCAGTTGTGACAGGCCTGTTGGATGACTCAGAACATTTTAAAAAATATTATGTTCAAAAATCTCATGAGGTTAAATACATCTCTGTTATAGGAAGCTTATTTTGACAGAAATGATTATCATTTAACAATTCAAGACATATCTTTGGATCAAAAACCTGCAAAAGGGCAGATAATAGGAATTCATGACCGATTCAGTGTTAGGTCAACATATGTGAAAGATGCAAGTGAGTGAACCCTAAGGAATTTGGTCCAGCAACTTGTATCTTCTAGGTTATATAGTACCTTGATATCTACTTTTTACCAATCAGAATCTCAAATTCATTATTTTACAAGCTTTTCTTTTAAAATCTACAGTCCTTTGAACGAGTGTTGGTGGAAAACAAGCTGCATGGCCTCTCTCCAGCCCTTTCTGAAGCCATCCAGAGCATTTCCAGATGGGAACTGGTGCAAGCTGCTTTGCCTCATGTTCTCCACTGTACTGCAACCCTGCTTTCCAACCGGAACAAGCTAGGTTGGTGCTCCTACATTACTTGTTTATTGCATATTGTTGTCCTGTGTGTTCAATACTCATTAAAAAAAACATTCATTGAGTGGTTGTTATCATCCCATGCACTGTTCACATATCATCTTATTTAATTCTCAAAATTCTATTCACATCAGTACCATCGTTATTTCAATATTACCAGTGAACTGACTCTTGTTTTTAATTGTTCTAAGTGAATGACTCTCATCTGTCCAAGATGAGTCCTACCTAGAGGTTTCCTCTTCGACCTCCCAATTCTTCAAGCAACCACTTCATGAATTTGACTATTGAAGACATTTCCCCAGCTTTGTAGTGGCCCGTGTGTGTGTGGATGTGGGTGTGTGTACATAAAGATTATTTTCTCATCTGGCACTATGTCCTAGCCATATCCCATGTTAGAGTGCACATTTTTTTCCATCCCATTCTCTGACCTCATCTGGGCCTCTGCTCAAGTGTTATCTCTATAAAGGGGCCTTTCTAGGTCATGTTGTCTAAAATAGAATGGTTATTGTCTCCAGAGTCTATATTTTAACCACTGTGTTACCTGCTTAGAAATATGTTTGGGTATTTGACAGATGAGATATAATATCAGATTCTACCTAAAAGATATAGCATGCTCTTGTACAGAGATTTCAGCCAGCAAGACAGCCCCCCAAACAAAAATGAGCCCAGCTGATGGTAGTTGTTAGATGTGTAGAGAAATGCTAATGTCTTCTGGGGAATCAAGCTGCAGAGCTAAGTAGAGATATTCTTCCCAGAACAAACGTTGTTCTGGTCAGCATTTACTATTTCTTGGCTGTGTGGTTGTCCAATTCAGGCCACCAAGATAAGCTCGGTGTCGCTGAGACCAAACTTCTTCACACCCTGCACTGGATGCTCCTAGAGGCTCCCCAGGACTGCAACAGTGAGCGGTTTGGGGGCACAGACCGAGGCTCCAGCTGGGGTGGCAGCAGCAGCGCTTTCATCCACCAGATTGAAAACCAGGGTTCTCCAGGTCAGCCCTGCCAGAGCAGCTCCAATGATGAAGAGGAGAACAACCGGAGGAAGATCTTCCAGAACTCCATGTCTACTGTGGAGCTCTTTGTGTTTCTGTTTGCTCCTCTGGTACACAGGATTAAGGTGAGCAGTATGCAGGCATTAGGCATGGGTGGGATGGAGTCAAGGTGAGAGTGGGCTTCAAATGATATTTCCATATTTGGTTATCCGTGTCTTCATATGGTCGTACGGCAAATCAAGGCATGGAGGGTTTGATTTGGGGATTAAACTTCTGCACATTACTTTAAAAACACAAATCTGCATATATCCTTTACCAATCTTCAGTAGTTCTCCATCTGCCTCAAGATAACGTCCAACCTATTAAACATGGTGTATAAGACCAAGCATGACCTAGAGCTTCAGTCCCTTTCTTGACTTACCAACTGTCAGCCCCTGTTGGCCCCCTCATGATGCAGCCTTGGGAGCCACTGGAACCATTCCCTGAATATGCTCTTGCTGTTTGCTCTGCTCTTGTTCTCTCCTCTCTTCCTCATGGTCCTTTAGACTCTAACTTCAGTATCATCATATCCATGAAGCTCTTCCTTTGACCTTCTCCATGTAGACTTTGTCACCAATCTTCTCGGTATTTCTATACCATTTTGTAACTACCTCATTACAATACAGGGTCTAAAGCTGAAGCTTAAAATTTTTACGTGCTAGGGACTTTTTGACAGGTTCAGTCTAAGAATTGCAATTTAAAATATCTTTAAATGTATAAAATACAAAACATGGGATTACATGAAATCCAATGGTCTTAAAATACAATTATATCCATCTACTGCTGAATCTGGAAAGTACAATATAACTTGAAATCAGTGTGCTACCACTGTCTAACTGGTGATCCTATTTTTGATGTTACTTAATCTCTTGAATCCCCAATTGCATGAAATTGTGGATACCTCCAACAAAGCATGGAACTGTGTGAAGACACACCTATCATATTATATCTAAGCACCACACTGGAAGGAATGTACTGTACTAATCTTTCAGTAGAATATTATGACATTAATGAATAAATATTCAAGATAGCAATGCGCATATGAAGGGGGTTTTGACGATGAACAATCACTATAAAGGGAGTGGGTTAGAGATTCTTTGTACTCATTTTAGTTTTCTAAAAATAATTTTAAAAAGTTCATTTCCCATTGACACTGTCCCATTGCTGATAGGAATCCATTTCAAACTACCTATAAATTCCCCAAAAGCAACACATACACTAGCAACATTACCAATAAAATATGCTAATTTTTTTGGTATTGTTAAGTCAAATTGTTGTTTTAAAACCTGTAACATCCTATTTAAAAAATCTTTTAAAAGGACACTTAATGGAAAGCCTCTCTTTAAATGAGACCATCTACCTGGCCTGTGGAACCTTCGGAACCCAAACCCTCTCTGGAGCCTCTCCCTTCATTCACTAGTTTCTCTCCTGTTCACTAACCTTTGGGCTCACTGTGGGCTCACCTCAAATCTGATGAGCTCATTCCTGTCTTCAAGTCCTTGCACTGGTTTTTTCCTTCGGCTTGAAACATTCATCCACATCCTCTACTTGGATTTTTCACATGGCCCTGTCTTTCTCATCAAATTTCTCACAATTCAAATGTGAACACCTCTGAAAGTTCTTCACTGACTACCTTTGTGTCACCAATATATTATTGCATCCTTTTCCCCTTTTATAGCACTTGCCACTACCTGGAATGACTATCAGTGTTTGTGTACATGTGAACTGCCCATCATGCCCACCTGAACAGCAGTCCTGGCATGAAGGCATGCTGCTTGTCCAGGTCACAACTGTGTCTCGACTAGTATGTGGCACATGAGGCTCTCAATAAGTGTTTAATGAGTGAGTCACTGAGAAAACCCACACGATTATCAGAAGCTGATCCAAGTGCTAAAACCAGGCAATTTTAATCGGGCACACAGTCTTTAAAATGGAGAGGGCAGAAGAACCCATTGCCCCTGAACACATCTATGTGCCAACCAATACCACCCAAATTGGAAAAATAGGCATGCCCAGAATGGCCATAATTTTGTTTGGAAAGACATGGCAGAAGTTTGCGTTTTGGAAAAAAGATAAAACTGTCTGTGAATTCAGAGCTGGTTGCTTCCTACCATATGACATCAAGCAATTAATTTATTTAATCTCACTTTTCTCAAGTCTAAGTTGACTTTAGGATAAATTCATGGTACATTGTGAGAATTCAGTAAGTTCTAATACTCAGCCTGAAACACAGAAAGACTGGTTGTTTTTACTGTTGATATTTTATTGCTGTTGGCATCATGTATTTTGGGGAGAGAGACATTGAGATCCTTTTTCAGGAGAGACTACAGATAGTTGGAAAACCTTGTCCCAAATACCCACATTTACCTGTGACCCAGTATTGCACAGTGGTTGATACAAAATAAATAATTATTATGAGTTACATTACTAGCATGATTGTTGTTTTATCATTTTGCCATTGCTAGGATGGAAGTACTGTTCTAGATACTATGGATAATAAAAAGTGTTAGTCAATAAATTTTGCTACAAGGTTTTTTTCCATTTAAAAAAGAGGTATTTGCTTTTTTCAGTGTTGCTAGGGAACGTACAATTTCCAGATCAGTTTCTTGGTCTTGGACAGTTGGCATGTTGGTCCAGATAATGCCTTGTCCTGGTCCACTGGCCCATGCATTATGGAATATTTAGCATCATCTCTGTCCTCTGCTCACTAAATGCCAGTAACATCCCTGCTTCCCTGAGTTCTAACAACTGCAAGTGATTCCAGGTGTCAGCAAGTGTCCCCAGGCAGTGAGCAGAAGGGAATTCTGTGCCCCATTTGCCTGCTGATTATCAGACTGTGCAGAAGACTATCTTCTTTCCATGTTGATATAAGCCCATATGAACTGTCCCTCCCTCACCAGCACCATCAATGTCCTTTGCCCTTCAAAACTCCTACCCCAAGACCATCTTTTCTATTCTTATTGCAGACAAAGGTGTGCAACTGGGGAAACCCCACGGCCATCCAGGCTTGTATTTCTACAGACCTGTGCTCTCCAAACCCAGGGCACTGCACACTTGTCAGTCCTTTGCTTGACTCTACTCCCATGAGTCCCCACTCAGCACTTACAACACAGTATTGTAAGTTGGGCCTCACAGGGAGGCCTAAGTTCAGTCAAGGCATGAAGCCAAGTCTCCGCATCCTCACCTCCATTTATTCCTCAACTCCTTGCAGTTGTTCTGCTTGCCTCTATGACATGGCAGGCAGTTTTCACACATCATTTCCAATTTTCAGCTACCCACATGGAAGTGAGTACCTTTATCTCCAAAGCTGAAGTTCAGAAAGATAATAGACAAGCTTGTTAACAACCAAAGAGAGATTCAAACCCAATTCCATCTGACTTCCTACAAAGTTTTCTTAAGTTTCTGTACTGCAGTTGTTGTTGTTGTTTCCCCCACTAAGGTCTGAATTACTGAACCTCATCTGTATTTTTCAATCCTTATTTCATTAACCCTCAGCTATACTTGAAACTACCCTGGAAGCTTTTAATTCTCTTCATGATACCACACACTGCCGATTCCCCTTGCATCCGCATTTCTGCTCCCTCTCTTTTCTAGACCGCATCTCCTTTGACTGTCCATTTAATATTGGGGTCCCCCAGAGATGCATCCTGGTTCTCTTGCTCTTTTTTTTTTTTTTGGAGTGCTGGGGATTGAACTTAGGGGCACTCTGCACTGAGATTCATTAATCCCCCATTATAAAGTCATTTTAAAATTTTGGGACAGGGTCTCACTAAGTTGCCAGGCTGGCCTTGAATTTGTGATCTTACTGCCTCAGCCTCCTGAGTAGATGAGATTACTGGCATGCCACCATGTATGGCCATCTTGCTCTTCTTACTCTATCATTTCCCTGGAAAATCGCCCTCCCAATCATTTACCATTTGTATCCTATAGGCTGAGATCACGTAATTCTGCATATCCAAGGCAGACTCTTCTCTTGACCTGTGGACCAGATTTTCAACTCTCTTCATCTATGGGCATTTCAGACTTTTTCTGGTGGAGCCCTTGTCCCTATATTCTGTATTTCAGATCCTTCACACAAACTCAAACTACCTTTACTTACAATCTCATCCTTATCTACACATTCCATTAATCACACATTCCCACCCATTTTTTTCTCCTAAATATTTTTCAAACTCACCACATCTTCTTGATACCTATTTACAACCTTAACCTAAGTGTCTCTCTTTCTTGGAACTTTTTCTTTCTCCATGGATGCACAGTCTCCTGTTTCCCTCATAAAACCCAACATTACACCCAAATGACCTATCTGAAGGGTAGATCTGACCATGTCACCAACATGCTTATGATAATTTGTTGATTTCTCAAAATACAGAGGGTAAAATTCCAGTAATGAGATCTGCTACACTGGGCCCTGTATGATGTATCTGTCTACTTCTCCTAGAGCTTCAGATGTTTAGAGCCTCCTAAGAATATAATACGGTTCTTTTCAAGCCTTTGGTCATGTAGGTCCTGCTGCCTAGAATGTCCTCAAACTCCACCCCTCTCCTAGAATACTCCTGTTCATCCTTTAGAACATCATTAGGGATCCATCCTTACTCCTCCTCTATTTCCATGATATTTCAGGGGCATGATCACAGTTGTACTCAATTTGGTTATCGTTATCTCTTTATCTCTCTCAGGTGAAAATTATCATTGTATCTGGTAGCTAATGTAGTATCTGTGTTGAGTAGGTACTTAATCATTGTTGAATGAATGAATTCACCAATTAGCAAATAACTCTAAGTGACTCATTCATTGGAAAGATAGCATATGACTCAATGTATGTTTTCCTTTCCTTTAAAATTATAATTAGCTCAAAAAGTTCACACAAAATCAACAATCTGAAAATCAAGTGTATGATTGCCTTTAGTCTCAATTTAATCTTATCAGTGAACAATGATGACTATTAAAGAATTTTTTTAAAATATGGTGTCAATATTGTCACAGTTTTATAATATTCACTCATCCCTCAAGGGACACTTCTTGAGTGCTCTTGAGTGCACTAGTAATGGAGAAACAATAGGAAATAAAACAAAATGCATGACTGCAGGAGGATTTTAACTAAATCCCTATGTGTGAAGTAAACAACTTTAAAATGGAACTTAAAATAATAGTTGTTCGATTAAATCTCTCCAAGCAACCAGCCAGAACATTTAGAATGGCTTCATGACATCCTAGAAACAGACCCTGAGGGAAAGCACAAAAGCATCTGAAATGTGGAGATGTGGATTCCACCCATCAGTGTTTACACCTTCTGGTTTTTTCTCAGGACCTTTTTAGACTACCTGCTCGACAACTATTTGAATGATTGAAAAGTGTCTTCTCCAAATGTTGAGTTTCTGGTTGTGTGTGTGGATGCATAGCCTTGGATTCCTACTATAGAAGACTCTGGAAGAAAAATTAGGGTCTCAGAGTTTATGCACTCAGCCAACTTAAAACAATTTGCACAGGAACACACCAACACAAGAGGAGACCAAAGATGTTGCATACAGATATTCAAGTCTGTAGAGTGATAGAATTTAATTGCTCTTTTTTAGAGAAAGTGAAAATATTGTTCTTTTAATTAACAATTATATATTTATGCTCAAAGGGAAATGTTCAGAAGTTGTTCTCGACTTGTCTTCAAAAAATAGCTGGGTATGGTAGCACATACCTGTAATCCCAGCTACTCAGGAGGCTAAGGCAGAAGGATTGCAAGTTCAAAGCTAGCCTCAGCGGTGAGGCCTCCAGTAACTTAGTGAGACCCTGTCTCAAAATAAAAAAATAAATAAGACAGGGGGATGTATCTTGGTGGTAAAGTGCCCCTGGGTTCAATCTCTGATACCCCCCCAAAATGTAATTTACTTGGAATTATATCAAGAAAACAAAATGATGACAGTCAGTGAATGACGTTAGATGCAATATGCTAAAAGCTAGAATTTTAATACAAGAAATTTTAGTACCAGAGATTTCAGCACTTCCTGTTGCAATGTCCATCAGAGTTTTACTTTTGTGTTGGTATTATGAGAAACATGGACAAGGATTAAGCTAAAAAAAAAAAAACAACTAAGATATCATTAAAACCAGGTCATTTGAGCTTTGGTTTCCTGCTTTTCTGAAGACAAATCTGATAAGCTTTGCTTAATGGTAATTCCCTGCTTGCTGGATAATATCATGCAGACTTCCCTAGGGCCATTTCAAGGAAATGTGGGTTACCCTCCTCTAACCTTCAGACCTGTTTGTTTCTAGCTTAATATCTCTTGTTGAAAAATCTAACTGGCATCTCAAACTTAACGTGTCACGCATCTGAAATCCCCAAACCTGTTCTTCTTATCTTGTTCATCTTCATTAATCTCAAAGCCCCAAATCCTGATACCTCTTTCTCTCTCACATTCTGCATCTCATCAGCTGGCAAATTCTGTAGGTAGATCTCTAAAATGAGTTCAGAATCTACCATTTCTTACTTTATTAGGTATTAGCACCCTAGTCTAACCATCTTTCACCTAGATGATAACAATAGCTTGCTAAATTCTCTCTCTTTCCACCTCTGCTCTTTCTCAAACTATTCTCAATAGCCTGAGTGAACCTATTGAAACCCATTTCCAGTCATGACAGTCTGTTTACTCAGAATCCTTCAGTGGCTTTCCTTCTTACTCAGCAATTGATGAAGCTCTTACTATGTCCTGTTAGGAAATAAATTATCTGACACATGATAATTTCCCTGATCTTATTTTTTTTAACCCTTCTTCTCTCATTCTCTTGTTCCAGACTCAAAATTTACTGGTTGCTTCTTGACACTCTGCAAACTTAGGGCCTTTGTGCTTGCTGGTCCTCTTTCATGGAATGCTATGCTTTCCTGGCCTTCCTAAGATATCAACACCTTTTCTGACATATGTCCTTACCTGCTTTACTTCTCCTTTGCACTATGAGCACGATTTTTTGCATGCTTTGTTCTCCATTGTATTTGACAACCTAGAATAGTACCAGTCGCATAGTATGTGCTCTATAAATATCTGTAGAATAAATGTGGAATGAATTCAGACCAGATGCTTCATGAGCTATCCCAGTTATTTCCCAGGGAACCCTGGAGGCTTTTCCCCTTGTGGGTACTGCTGGGGCTCTGCTGCTAATGCTGCCAGATCCCCAGCCTGGTCTTCAGTGATGCAGAAGTGCCCTTTCTCTGCCAGTGTGGGTGAACTTATTCAAGGACTTTAACAATGTTTTCAGCAAAAGGTGCTTTGACATTCAACTACATTGATTCACCATTTGTAGAATCACTTTTCTTTTTCTATTTTCCAATTTCTTCTAGGCTCTTATCCTTCTAGCTCAGTGGCTTCCATCTATGGCTACATGTAAGGGTCACCACAGGGAACTTTAGAAAACCTCACAGAGGTTCTGATTTAATGGGTCTGGGTATGGGAGGGAAGTGAGACCTGGGATGCTTATGTCTTAAAAGCTCCCCAAGTAATTGCAATATGCAAGGCAAGCTTATACATCATGGTCCTAAGTAAATTCCTGGGTCTCAGATGTGTTCATTAATCTGTGATCACATTCTCTGCTTCCAACTTCTTTGAGGGGCTGAGTTGTGTAAGATGCATTCTCACAACATCACGTATTTGGATTTACACAATGTGAGATTACATTTTAAATACCTCGGCCTCTGGAAATAACATAATGATGAAGCAGAGAATATGTTTTTGGAAGAGACCTTTAACTAGGGATAAGTCGTGTGAACATGGGTTGTAAAGTCCGTCTAATTCAGCAAGTACCTATTGGATTTCTATTGTGTCCACAATTCCTAGTGCTGTATTAAGAGTTGTGATGTTGGAGTGAGAAGGAAGGAGGGTGCTTGATCAGTCCCTACCCTCAAGGAATTAAAGATTATTAAAAGAACAAAATAACACACCACAAAGGGTTAAAATATATTTACCTACTTCCATAAAATGCAAGGAGAAATGGACTGAAGCATAGAAAGTCGAAATAGCCAGGATGTGAGGATATTGCCTTATTAGGGAAAAATGAGGACAATTAAATAATTAAGAGGAATTATAATGACAACCTCCAGTGAAGAGATCCACCAAGACTTTTGAAATTGTTGCCAACACAAAACATTAATTTGTGCATTCTATGCTTTGCCCAAAGCTACAGTTTGATTAATTATTTATTTTGCATAAAGCAGATGACTGTGATTTCCACAGTGATTGCAGTGATAGCTTAGGGTTATTGGTTTACTCAAAGAAAGTTTGGCAGATCAACCCATTCAGGAAATAACCTTGTGAATGCGTTGTTTCCTCTAACCAGTTCTTACAAACCAGTTATTAGACAGATTTTTCTCTCCTCAGGAATCTGACCTCACCTTCCGATTGGCCAGTGGGCTTGTTATATGGCAGCCTATGTGGGAGCACAGACAGCCGGAAGTCTCTGGCTTCACAGCATTGGTAAAACCCATCAGGAACATCATTACAGGTTTGTGATTCCTTCACACTTTGAAGCAAGGGTGGTGGGATGATTTTCCCTTAAAAAGTTTAGAATAAGAACATCTGGGGGCGGTATCTGAATGTCCCAAGTACAGGGCTTATTCATAACCAACAGAGACTCGTGCTTTTCTATTGTGTGACTTTGGGTAAGTTCCTTCATCTGTAAAATGGGAATTAAAGCATCATGTTAATAGAATTTACAGGATTATTGTAAGGAACAAATGAGTTAATATATGTAAGATGTTCTAAAAACACAGTGACTGCCTGGCACACAGAAAATGAGTAAGCAGTATCTCTTATTATAATTATTATTTTATCATTATCATGGTAGATGAAGTAGATGCTATCAAAGCATTTCACTTCAGGAGTCATTTAATGAGATTGTGCTATTGAATTACAGAAAGAATACAACAGGAGAGGTTAAAAAATGCATGGAAGCTCATACTTTTCTTCAAGTCTGTCTCTTGCTAAGGATATGTAACTGAACTTTCTTGTCTTCATTAATGTAAAATAGAGATGATAATGCACTTTACAGGGCATCTTAGTAAACAGTAATGAGAATGTACATTAAGTACCCATTTTATAGTATGTGCTTAAAAGATTCCATTGTTCTATTCCCAACCTTATTTTTAGCAACAGTAGTTAAAACTTTTAAAAATTAATTATGTGGAAAAATCTACAGAAATATATATGTATACATATATATATGTATATATATATATATACATGCACACATATATGTATATTTGCATACATACATCTTATACACACAAATATGTGTGTGCCTAGTTTGCTAGCTTTGTAAGATTTTTGTGCAGACAGTGGAGGATTAGGCGTGTACAAGGACTCTCTCTATAAATAGAAGGAAACTCTAAGCCTGCTCTTATATACATTTTCTCCCTATAATTTAACACAACCTTGCAAAATATATGTTAAGGAATTGTATAACCAAAGAGTGCCATGTTATTCATATATTTGGTAGGATGCTTTTAGTAGTCAATATAATCATTCAAAAGGAGAGTTAAATTTTTCAAAAAAGTAGATTAATCTCAGAACTTACATGTATACAAAACATTAATGTTTGAAATACCAATTCAAAAGTGACAGCCTGCCATAGTTCCAAACATCAAAGAACTAAATTAGTAAAGGTGTCATACCAAAAAATCTACTTCAGATTCTGTGTATATAATAAGGTTACTTTGGATTCAAATAATTGGAAAGTAAATATAGATGTAAGAGGTTTTTTAAATCTAAAAAAGTAGACTTAAGACAAAAATAATAAAATATGCTCACATGTAACAAAATTATTAGTGAAAAAACCACATCTTTATGGCATGTTGATTAAAGAGACTTCATTTTTTAAATGTTTTTAAGTCTTCCTATCACTTTCTTTCCTTTTCTCTTTGCAGTTCTGAGGGTCAAACCCAGGGCCTCATACATGCTAGGCAAGTGTTCAATCACTGAGCTACCATCTTTCACCCAGCCTTGTCTCTCTCTATGATTAAAATATAAATTGGGGCTGGGGAAATAGCTCAGTGGTAGAGCATTTGCCTAGCATGTACAAGGACCTTGATTCTATCCCAAGCACTGGAACACCCTCCCCCACCACACACACACTGTCATTTGATATACAAAAATAACTAAGAAACCATGCCCCTCCATGAACATCTGGGTTCTTCACCTCACCCTGCCTTTGCTTCTGGATGATGCTCGTGGTTGTTTTCTTCCCCCTGTGTCTAATGCTGTGCACTTGAAATGGTGCCAGCATCGGAGTGCATTAGACTAGTTTAGCCAGCATGGCCAGAAAGAGCAGTGGTACCTGGTGACCTTGGCAAATCCCTTTCCTTCTCAGCGCCAGACTATTCAGCACTCAAGTGAGGCATTGCCATCTTAGTTTCCCACTCATCCTCATTCTAAGGTCAAGATGTGAGGGATTTGAACATTACTTTAGGAGAAGCTTAATGTAGTAGTTGAAACAGACTCTGGAGTCAGACAGCCTGGGCTGAAGCCTTCATGTAAGTATTAAGTGACCATGGTCAAGTTAAACTTCCTGTGCCTTAGTTTCTTCATTTGTAAAATGAGTATAATTTTATAGCAGTATTACAGGATTATTGAAAGGATTACAATAATTAATATATATTAATTTATATTTTATATATATATATATAAAATTTTATATATATATATATATAAAATCCTTAGAACAGAAATTGTGGATAATATATGCTAGGTAGATGTTATCTATAATTATTTTTAGTATTCCCAACTTCTTAGCATCACAACTTGAGTTAGACTTAGGTTGATAAATATTGACATTGATAACTTAGAAGTGCTAAGATTATTTTGAATCCCTTATTTAATTTCTCTTACATGTTTTATTAAACAGCTTCTTTCAAGGTGACAATGATCTGTTAAATTGGCTTTTTATTGGAATGAAATGAATTTATGAAATAAAATGAACCTAGAATCTTATAAAATTCGTGATGGAATTTCTTTGATCTTTCCAGCCAAGAGAAGTTCTCCTATAAACAGTCAAAGTCTGACCTGTGAATCACCAAATCAGGAGACAAGACACCGAGAGGTTAGTTTATTGTAATTGTAAGAAGAGAGAAAGGAACTCTGGTGTAGTGTATTGTGGAGGGTGAGACTTAAGTTCTAGAATCATACTACTGAGCTCAGAGCCCTCCTTTCTAAATGTGAAATTTTTAACAGCCTCAGGTTTTCTATCAGTCAAGTATGAAAATCAATATTATGCATCTCTCCAAAATGAAGAAGTACTGAAAAAATATATTGTGTGGCTCCTGTTTTATCTCCATGATTAGTATGTGATAAGTAGTGCTTTATCTCACTGGCTAGTATATAACACTCTTATCATTATTCATCTCACATTAAATAAAGTATCATCTTTTTCTCAATTATTGAATCCCGTAATGTTTATTAGGTAACTCTAATGTAGGTTTAATAGTGTCTCAGGGGGTTAGGGTGGGGGAGTAGGAAGGAGAGAGAAGATGCAATCCTATCCATTACAGAATCTGAAGTTTAATGAAAAGTCATAACTTATCCACATAAACAGAAGATGCAAGATAAAAAAAAAACAACGCAATTCAATGCAAATTTGTCACATTTGGTTCTTATAAGAAAGAAGTGAAGGCCAGGGAAATAAAAGCCACATGGAAATGTATACTGCTATTAATGTAGCATGTCATTAGTTGACCTGCCTTCACTTTCATTTCAACATGTGCAAAGTGCAACTTGCTGCCTTCCATAGAAATTGGACCCCCTTTTCAACCTATGTGTTACTGTCAGGAATATCATCATTTATCTTCTTACCCTCTAAGCTGGAAATATTGGTGTCCTAGAATATCTGCCATTTACTGAACAATTTCTTTCACTGATTTATGTGCTTTAAGGTTTATGTATTTTTCACATTTAACATCTTTGAAATTGAGTGTACTTGACAATCTTTGACCTCTTACTATCTCCCTGCCTGGTGGCAGTCTTGATATGGTTGTCAATCTCGTGCAGCCTGAATTTGGTCATTTCTAGCACTGAAATTTGCAGCATCAGGGTCAATGACTTGCAAGAATGTCTTAGAGAATTGTGGTACACTCTTGAGAAATGATGCCTCGACAAAATAACACATCTTGACATAGGAAGTTGTTCTTTGGAAAAAATATAAACAACTCTCAGTTAAAAATTCTGAACATGAAGAAATGTTAGGATTTATTTCATGTATACACTCCTTTCATATATACATAGGATGGATGTGTAATGAAACACTATGCCTATATAAGTCTAAAATAGCTCTTTCAATAAGTATAAAATGAAAGTCCTCACTGATAATAAGCTAAGTGTCCTAATTTATTTAACAGTGTACTTTTTAAACTCTATGGTGCCTAAAATAATGCATGTCTTATAAGAGATGACATCTTAAATACAGTGAAATATGTAAATCTCATACTTTTTCTATATAATCCTCCTGATCTCTTGCTGAGTCATAGTGTTTCTTTTCATTATGTTGCTAAGATGTGCTTTTTATTTTCTATGCCCTCTACCACCCTCCAAATCCAGAACCTCATAACTTGACTGCAGCTTTAACCACCTAATCAGATTTTTAGGTAAAGTGCCTGTATAGTGTACATATGATGTACTCACCATATGTACATTGGATCAAGTTCAGAGGACTTGTTTCATGAAATTTCTAGCTATATTTATTTTTCTGTAAATTGTTCTTAAATCATGACTTCTTTTGTGTATGAAAATAGAAAGTGTAAGGACAAAATTAATATGATAGATTTTTGAGAATCTTTATGCTTTAGCAAAGAATTTAATCCATAACCTACGGATAGATATCTCAGATTAAATTTATCAGCCATATGTAATTTAAATTTCTGGATGTAACATAAACCTTACAATTTATTCTTATGTGCTACCTTTAATTTGATTACTTCCTGCTAAATTGGTGCTGGTCTTTAGCCTCATGCTGCCATTCAGTTCTCAGTTTGAGTATATCTTTGATGAATTGTCAGGCTCATAAATCTCCTACAGATAGTGGATACAAAAGTAAAAAAGAAAGAAATCAAGGGCAAAATGAAATAAAATTTATGAAAGTACTTAGCCTAATGCTTGGAATGACAGAGGTGCTCTCTAGAAGTCTCTTTCTATTTCCTTTTCGACAGAGGCAAAAATACCTCTGTCTATGACATTATAATTCGTTTTGATGAAAAGAAACTATGTATGTAATATAGGAGGTAATTTTAGAGGATATACCTGAAGGCAAAAAAAGAAAAAACACAAAACCTAATCTGCTGTCTCCATGTCTCCACCTCCAAAAGGGACTCCAGGTGGTCTGTGAAACTTTGCAGTCTGATTCTATCTCACCCAAGGCCACCATTTCAGGCTGCCACCGAGGAAACTCCTTTGATGGAAGCTTGTCCTCCCAAACTTCCCAGGAAAGAGGCCCATCACATTCCAGGTACATGATTGCAATGTTTGAGACAAAATGTATTCCTCGTTGCCAAGAATTAAATGTGCATTTTTAGCTACTTTCATATCCTCTGCTCTTTAAAATATGTATGTGCATGCTTTACCTATACATATTCTGGGCAAAAGTATAATTAGATTATTAATTGCAGAAATGTGATATGAATGCCTCTCATTTAAGCTAACCAGGGTGGAAGTGGGAAGACATATCTGATTTAATGAGATGTCTGAATCAGAAGCTATTTTAAATGTTTATATGCAGAAATGCCAATGATGCTATCAAAAGATTGTGTTGCAGAGATATTAAAGGATCTGCTTTAATGTATAAGGATACTTTATTCTAACAGATCTTTGTATTGAAAGAGGTTAAAGTTTGTGGGGAGTATAAAATCTGCTCTTTGCAAATATTCCAACTTGCTTACAAACACCCTCCCTGGGAAAAAGAGCTAGTCTACTTCCTAATCCCTGCTAAATTATTGATTCGTGAAGTTTGCTACTTCACCTAAGGGACTAGAGACCCTAAGATCATTTGTATATCTCTACTCCCAAATGAAGTCATAGTCTAGTGGGTAGTATTTTAAAATTGGCATTTAAAAATAGCTTTATTGAAATATAATTTCTATCCCATAAAATTTACCTGTTTTAAGCTTAGTTTAATTATTTTAACACATTTACAAAACTGTGTACCTATCACCATAATTCAATTTTTAAAAATTTCCATCACTCAAAAATGTCCTTTGTATTCATTTACAGTCACTCCCATTCACACCTATTATACTTTCCATCTGTTTGGGGTTGCATTTCCAGACTTTTCATATGCGTGGAATAATATAGTTTTTGTTTTGTTTTGTTTTTTGCATCTGGCTTCCTTCACTTACCATAATGTTTTTAAGGTTTATCCATATCATTGAAGGTGTCTGTAATCTATTCCTTTTTATTGTTGACTAATATTCCATTCTATGAATCTATCACATTTTCTTTATTCATCTGTCAATGGATATTTTGTCTATTATGAATATTGCTTATATGAACATTCACTTAGGAATCTTTATGTGAGTATAGGTTTCCAATTCTATTGGGTGGATAGTCATGAGTGGAATTGTTGGGTTATGTGGCAAATTCATGTATAATTAAAAAACACACCAAACTGTTCTCTAAAATGGCTGCATTATTTAACATCCTCCCAGTGACTTCTGAGAGTCTGTGCCTCTATGTCCTTGGGAACATCTGTTATTGTCTATCTTTTTTATTATAGTTATTTAAAAGGGTGTAAAATGGGATCTGATTGTGGTTTTGTTTACTTTTCCTTAATGACTAATGATGTTAAGTATATCTTACTGTGCCTATTAACCATTCAAAGATTTTCTTTGATGAAACATCTATTCAAAACTTTCGCCAACATTTTAACTGGGTTATCT